GTCCGGCATTTTTCATTAATATCTCCTCAACGAAGCCTCGGACAACAATTTCGCTAAGGAAGAAGTTGTTTCAAATCACCTCCCGAATCGCCTCTTTCATTGACCTCCAACATTTTTGGGACACCCTGTATTGATCATAGATCGCTTTCTCACAATTATTCAATAGTAAAGAATTAAGTTACTATGGATAATTTAATATTTTGTGTTTGCGATGAGTGGAAGGTGAACGCGAATTGTGTTAACGAGTACAATATTAACATAGGTGTCGTAGTATGACGCAGATGTGGTATACAATGAACGTAACAGAGGCTCGTCTTATCATTCCGTTACGCGATTAGTATGACCGCCTGCATTTAACCGAGCCGACCAAGCCTCGGTGCACTCGATAATAGATCAATGAATTACCAAGTCTGTCAGTTACGGTTGTGTCACGTACGAATATCGGTAGTTGTAATACGTGGTTCGGAATAATTCCATGAAATTATAAAATACGAAAACTACGTGTGTCAAACGATAACGATATAAGAAACGTAAAAAAAAAAAAAAAAAAAAAGAAAAGAAAATATACATGTCGAATTGAGTAACCTCCACCTCTTCGAAGTCTGTTAAAAAATTGATATGAATTTCGTACCGAAGTAGATAAGTTTATATTTGGATTTGCTCAAAGTCGATATCAATATTGATCCAAATTAACCGTGACAATTTTATCGATGACGCTACGCGTGAATCACTTGTGTCGATAAATGTTAAAATATATCGTACAGCTGAAAGAATTGTGAGACTCGATGCTCAAACACAGTACAAAATGTTAGTCTTTATGAAATACTGGAAATCTTGAAAATCACGTATATTCTGAAATTTTTTAAAATTGTTTTAAATAAACGAAGGAGACGAAGTAAATCGAAGTAAATAAAAGTAAATAAAAGTAAATCGAAGTAAGTTGAAGTAATTTATGAAACGTTAAAAAGTAATTAAACATAAGACATTAGAAAGTAATTATTCATCAAACATTCTAAAATTTGAATGATTCCATATCGTACTTTCCTAATTGCCTAAGATTGTGTTGCAAACTGACAGACGAATTCGTACCATCGAATTATTCACGGTGGAGTTAAAGCACTTATCTCCGTTATCGGTATGCTAACGATTATTCAATGTATTCTCCTATCTTAAAACGTTATTCCACAGAAACTTCTGTAATCGGGAATGGTTTCCTTGAACGTAGAAACTGATAGGATTGTGCACATGCTGATAGAGACGAACAATTGCCACATTGAACTCGAAATGTTTGACCGTTTTACGTATTAGATACTAAATAGCGATACTTTTGAGAATCGGTATTTAAACAACAGTGTTTCATCGAACGAAAGTAAATCATATACCAGAGCTGCAAATTCTTAATTAACATTACGTAATGATTACT